CGGGGGAGGGGCGGGAGATTTTACACTGAAATGAACACGGAGTGCGAAAGGTCATTACAGGGATCCGCCGCAGGAGATCTGCTCCTGGAGGGCCACCAAATCTCCGCGGCGTCAGAGCGCGCAGAGCGTTATCGGCGTATTTATTATTTATAAGGACATTTTCCATTTAAATGATTTATTATGAGTTTTATATTTACATTTCACCGAAACGAGACAACTGACTTCTCATTCTCCGTGATCGAGAATTCTGCACATTGGAGGAGAATATAAAATCGCACACAGTTATGACATGTAGAGGAGGAGGGAGGACTACGGGGCCCGGGGAGCGCTCAAGGGCCCGGGGAGCGCTACGGGGCCCCCAAAAAATTCCTCATTAGCAAAATATTAGAACTACAAACCCGATAATATATATACAATGTAACCGTAACCAATGTGCGCTCTTCATGAAGCAACACGCCACTCGGGAACATACACACTCTAGGGGGTGCCACTCAATGTACACACTCTAGGGGGTGCCACTCAATGTACACACTCTAGGGGGTGCCACTCAATGTACACACTCTAGGGGGTGCCACTCAATGTACACACTCTAGGGGGTGCCACTCAATGTACACACTCTAGGGGGTGCCACTCAATGTACACACTCTAGGGGGTGCCACTCAATGTACACACTCTAGGGGGTGCCACTCAATGTACACACTCTAGGGGGTGCCACTCAATGTACACACTCTAGGGGGTGCCACTCAATGTACACACTCTAGGGGGTGCCACTCAATGTACACACTCTAGGGGGTGCCACTCAATGTACACACTCTAGGGGGTGCCACTCAATGTACACACTCTAGGGGGTGCCACTCAATGTACACACTCTAGGGGGTGCCACTCAATGTACACACTCTAGGGGGTGCCACTCAATGTACACACTCTAGGGGGTGCCACTCAATGTACACACTTTAGGGCAGGGGGTGTCAAACTCAATTTAATCGTGGGGCCGCATCAACATTATGGTCGCCCTCAAAGGTATCTGTAAGACGATATAAATGTATCTTTATCACCGTTGCCTCTGCGTTCCATTATCACGGGTTTTAGTAATAACTGAATACCGAGATCTGAAAGTAGAAGTCTAGGAAATGCCCTGGTGGGCCGGATTTGGCCCCCCGGGCCTTGAGTTTGACACATGTGATTTAGGGGGTGCCACTCGAGAACGCACACACTTTAGGGGTGACACTCATGAATAAAACACACACTTGAGGTTGCTACTCAAAAAAGTACATTACTTTGGGGGTGTGGCTTAAGAACGTACACGCTTTTTGGGGTGCCACTCAAGAATGAACACACATTAGGGGGGTTGCTATAATAAATGTTTGTGCTTTAGAGGGTGCTACTTATTGGCACACACACACTTGGGAAGTTGCTATTAAAAAATATACACACTTTAGGGGTGTGACTCAAGAAATGACACTTTTTTGGGGGTGCTTCTGAAGAATGTACAGACTATGAGGGTGACACTCAGGAACGTACACATTTTAGGGAGTGCCACATAAGAATTAACATACTTGGGGAGGTTGCTACTCAAACATTTACACACTTTCGGGGTGCCGCTTATGAACATTTGGGGGTGCCAGTAATAACTGTATGTGTGATTTAGATGATTCCGGCGATCA